TTTCTATTGGTAGAACTTACTGCCTTATGGCTATATAATTGATGGTCCTAGCATTTTTGCTGGCTGTTCGCTTAATGTAGGCATTTAGCCTGGATCTTTCCACCTCAGGTCCTAGAGGCTACCCAAAGATCCTATAGGCCACTTGTAGTAACTTTCCACATCAGCTTCTTCAATATGGATGCTTAGTTTATCAAACCAGCAAGAAGAATCTCTCTCTTCAGGGAAGGGAGAATCTCTCATTTCAGAGAAGGTCTTGTTCCTTTTTATTTATTTGTTTTTATTTTTGCTAAAAATGTTTTTTTTTTCTTTATTGATTTTAGAGAGAGAAAAAGGGAAAGGGAAAGATAGAAATATCGATGAGAGAGAACATCAATTGGCCACCTCCTGCATGACCCCCACTGGAGATTTGGCCCACAACCTGGGCACATGCCCTGACCGGGAATTAAACCAGCGACCTCCTGGTACATGGGTTGACACTCAACCACTGACCACACTGGCCAGTCCCATTTCTTTTCTTTTTTTTTTTTTTTATCCTCACCCGAGGACATTTTTCCATTTTTTGTTCAGGTAGAGTGGGAGGGGGAGAGAGGAACAGAGAAATGGAGAGAAACATCAATGTGAAAGGAACACATCAAGTGGCTGCCACCCGCACAACCAACCAGGGCCGGGGACAAACTGCAACCGAGGTACGTGCCCTTAGCGGGAACCGAACCCGGGTCTCTCAGGACCGCAGGCCGACGCTCTAACCGCTGAGCCAAACCGGCCAGGGCCCCATTTCTTTTTAAAAGAGCTTTCCCAGATTATGTCAGGTCCACCCAAGATAATCTCTCTTTTGGTTAACTGAAAATTGATTTATTTGGCACTTCAATTACATCTGCAAAATCCAATCATCTTTGCCATAATCTATTGGCTAGAAGCCAGTCATGGGCTCTGCCCACACTCAACGGGAGAGGATTATACAGGGTGTGAACACAAATGTGTGAAGATCATCTTAGAAGTCTGTTTACCACACTTCCTATTCCCCAAATTAATTGTTTCTTGAGTTTTCCCAAGTCTGCTTACTTAACACCTCAAAAAACTTCTCTGCAAATTGGAAGAAAATAATACAAATTATCAGGTTGTAGTTAATTTTTATTCTTTACTAATGGTAGGGTAGGATGTGCAGATAGAAACTGCTCAAGCTGAGCTATGTCTGTGCAATTACTGACAAGTACCGCTGCTACTACTACTACTACTACTACTACTACTACCACCACCACCACCACTATAATTACTATGATGACTATTACCTAACATTTATGGAGATATTATTATACACACAGTATTCCTTGAAGTGTTTTACAAGAATTTGTGAAAATGTTACCAGATAGCCCTGGCCAGTTTGGCTCAGTGGTTAGAGCATCAGCTCGCGGAACAGAGAGTCCTGGGTTCAGTTCCCACTAAGGGCACGTACCTCGGTTGCAGTTTGTCCCAGGCCCCAGTTGGGGTTGTGTGGGTGGCAACCACTGGATGTGTCTCTCTCACATTGATGTTTCTCTCTCTCTCTCTTCCTCCCTCTTTCCTTCCCGCTCTATCTGAAGATAAATGCAAAAACAAAAATGTCCTTGAGTGAGGCTAGATAAAAAAAAAAAGTTACCAGAAAGAAGCTATTTTTATCATCTCCATTTTATATTTCAGGAGCCATTTGCATACAGAAGTTTAGAACATGCAGCAAGTAAGAAGTAGAGATAAAATTCAAATTCAGATAGTAGGCTTTTAGAGCCTATTTTTGTAAGTATCATATTAGGCTTCCTCTTATATTATAGAAACTTCAGTTTTCTTTTTCAGCTGTTTCTTTTTCGAGCTTATGATATTTTTCAAGTTCTGTTTTCCTTATTCAATTTCTTCTCAATTGCTACAGATGAAAATCATTTATTTATATTTATTATTTTAGGTATTTTTGCTTTTCGAATTGTTTTCTGTAAGAGATTCTGAGGTCTTGTTTTACTCCAGCATTTTTTTTTCCCTAGAAGCATATCCAGACAGTATGTATTAATAAGGCTATAATGGTGAATGAAATATGAAAATCCTTCATTACTGATTGGTAAGTAGCTGTTCTACCCCTGAATACTATTCCTACCATTTAGTCTGTCTCAGTCTCCAGCTGAAGAACCCTTGGATCTCTCCACAATCCTCAAACTAGATGATTAACATCTGACAAAGTAGGGGATCTTTAAGACTGGTTCCACTCTAATTGGTCAGTGCCTGGTGTCGCAAGAATTGACAATTATTTTGAATATTAGCCTACATAGAAGTTGAAGCAATGCCTTTTACTTTCTTCAGTGTCTTTGCATTTCTGTCTTACCTAATTTGAATTCTTTGTTTTGTATCTATTCTGACAGTACTTTTAGTTATACATTATAAGTCAGGTCAAATATCACCTCTTCTGTGAAATTTTCCCATATACTATGAGGAAGATTTAGGTCCTCTGGTTTTATATTTCTTTTCTACTTAGTGTATATCTCCATAATAGTAATAATCTCATATTGTTTATCTGCATATATAACTCCCCATTAGAGGCAATGTCATTTTCTCTGGGCACCCTCAGTGCTTAGAATAGTGTTAGCACATACTAGATACTGTACTTGTTGAATGAAACAATAAAGTCATTGGTTAGATCAACTAGTAGGTGAAATATAGTTAAAGAGACTATAAATGATAGAGGATATTTGGAGATATTCAAATACAATAAAACTGTTGAGTTGGAGTCTTAGGGAGGCAAGTCTAGAATATGAGCATATCTAAGAAAATTAATGAATTGTTCAGTTAATGCTGAATTATTTTTCCTTTTGTCATTAGCCTGGATAATTGAGAGTGAACTATTATAAAAATGATTCCTTTTTATTTCTTATAGAGGACATATAAACAGAAACCTAATGGACTCTATTATTCCAATCCTATTTCTCTTATTATGAGTAGAACTTTTAATATCAATATTAATATTTATTATTTACTGAGCATTTTCTAATTGAGCACCTATATACTAAATGAATTATAGCACACAATGTTAAATTGAGCCTCTATTTAAAATGTATTGAATACCTATGTTCTGTGCTAAGTACTTTACAAAGCTTAGCAATTAAGCAATGCAAATCTAGTTACGTTTTACGTAAAACACTAATTTGAAAGAATATATGTACCTCTATGTTCATTGCACGGTATTTACAATAGCAAAAATTTGGAAGCAGCCATGTGCTCATCAGTAGATGAGTGGATAAAAAAGCTGTGGTACATTTACACAATGAATACTACTCAGCCATAAAAAGAAGGGAATCTTACCTTTTGCAACATCATGGATGGACCTGGAAATTATCATTCTAAGTGAAATAAGCCAGTCAGAGAAAGACAAGTACTGTATGATTTCACTTATATGTGGAATCTAATCAACAAAATAATCTAATAAAGTGGAGTCAGACTCATAGTTACAGAGATCAGATTGACAGCTGTCAAGTGGGTGGGGGTGGAGGCTGGGTGAGATGGATAACGGGATGAAGCAAAAAAAGAAAAACTGATGGATACAAGGGTATGATGATTGCCAGAGGAAAGGGGGTGGGGTTGGGGGAAGGTAGAAGAGAGTAAAGGGGGGATACATGGTGATGGAAGGAGACTTGACTTTGGTGGTATACGCACAATACAATATACAGATGATGTATTGCAGAATTGTATTCCTGAAACCTATATCATTTTATTAACCAATGTCACCCCAATAAATTCAATTTAAAAAATCTAATTGTGTTCTTTCCTGACTTAAACCTTTTAATTGATTCCTCATTGCTCTCACAATAAAGTTCATCTTTATGGTAAGAAATCTATTAAATCAGTTCTCACATTAGAGATGACCTCTTCTGGGAAGGCATTACTGATTCTCCAAGTCTGGATTAGGTGGTCCTCCTAAAAGTTACTCAGTATCAACTAAATTGAGAGGCCCAAATTATGAAAATAAGTACTAACCACTTTGCACAAAATTTCTCATCACAAAAATTTCCTGTTTACTTTTCTGTCTCCTCCACTATAGTACAGATTTCTTGAGGACAGGCCTGATATAGAAATTGTTAAATATTAAATGAATAGCTTAATTTAACGAAGAAATTACATTAAAATTCAATAACCAAACTCTACGATCTATTTGTCGGGCTCTTTTTGCTTTACAAAACACAATCACTTTTCCTATCATTTAGTCTTCCCAATCAATTTTAACTGCAGGCATTCTCACCATTTTAGAGAGGAGAAAAACTGAGTAACACATTTATTCCAAGTAACAGGCAAGTAACCCCAAGTGCTTGGATTTGAGCCCAGAAGTCACAATCAAGTAGCACCTTTTCCACTACATCTCATTGGCTTTCATTAAGGGTTGGCTCCCAGTGTAAAACTGAAAAAGAGGGATACAACTTCTGGTGGAAGTGTATGATGGGAAGTGCCTGCTCTGGCACAAAACAACCGAAAGAAAAGATGTTTTCCTCATTACCTCATTACTTCTAGTTTAAAGCACACTTTGTGAATTTTTCTTATAAATAATGAACAAATCAACATCCTCTAAGCTATTCTGAAAAACTTTCCCTCAGGTCTTTAACTTTCACCTACCTATTTCCTTCCTTCCTTCTTTCTAAAACTCATAGAGGGCGCTCACCAAGTGCGACTCAATGGTTGAGGGAAGTTCCACTGACAAACACACCTCACACTGCAGCTGAAAGGCGCAGCGCCACCACCTCAGACCTCCTCTTTTCCACGACAGGAGGCGGGGCCAATTTTCCTCATTCAAATAAAAAACCAGGCAATTTGCATGGGGACCAGTCAGTCTGTGAGCCTATTGGCTGATAGCACAGAAGGCGTGGCAAACAGTACGACCATCTAGCCCCGCCCACATTAATTTGCATAACGGCCTCCCGCGTGCAAGGGAGAAGCGGGTTTGTTTTTGAATCTGCGGCGGCGGCGGCGGCAGCGGCAGCGGCGGCAGCGACTGAAGCGCGCGAGACACTGAGGCGGCAGCGTTGGGGACGGCTGCGCTGATCGGCGCTGTGGGAAGGAACTTGGTTCCCCCTCCCTCATCTCCCCCCGGAAAGGTATATGTGCATACTAGGGGCTGTTATGACCAAATTTTCTTAAATTACTATTGTATTTCTGAAGAGTCAAGACCGCATTATGGCGGCTGCAGGAGTTGTGTTTGCGCGTGCGCGGTTGCGGAGCTGCGGGCTGGCGCTGCATGGGAGCACGTGATCTTGCGGGGTCGGGCTCTAGCTGCAGTTGTGCAGCTGGCGGGGCGGTGGCTGCGCAAGCGCAATATTCATTTTCAAGATCTAATGTTCTTGTTGGACGCCATTTGGGTTCTAGATTTAATTTTCCTCATTCTTGAGGGGTTACATTTTGTTGCCCTCAAATTCTCACTTTTTTTAAGAAAAACGTTTCGCTTATGTTGTACTTCTATGCAGACCTTAAACTGTTTTCTTTTATTTCTCCGATTCTCTTGAGAGACTGTGGACTTAATTTTCTGTAAAAGTGATTGTCACCTATGGTTCTTGATTATAATGTCACTTTTAGAGTTTTGCTGGATTCAAGTTTATATTTAGAAAGGTGAAGATCAGCACCTAGTGGTGTTCACACAGGAAGTGCATTTATTTGAGTTGCATATTTGCAAAGACATTTTTAACCCTGTTTTTACCAGTGCTGTTATGGAATGTTTACAAAACAGAAACAACTTGAGTTTTGGAAATATGAGGGGGAGGGGGCATTGGAAAGACTGTATGGTGTTTAAAAAGAAATCTCAATCTCTTTGGGTATTTATTTTTAGAAAATATTTGATCCTAAGTCAATGAAGTTTTAATTTCAATTAGTTTGTGTCTCTTATCCTTGCATTTGAGTTTCACATTTTTTCGGTCTCTGATCACTTGTCTATTAGTGCTTCAGTTAGATCACTTTATTATTCTTTTAAAATTAAGTCATTTTCTTAGTGTTTTATTTATGATCTATAAAATATAAAACTTGGTAAATTTTTCTGATAATTCTGTAAAGAACTTCCAACTACACTGAGGCCTTTAAGAGGAAATTAAGTGAAAAATAAGTAAAAAAAATCAGTTAATTTACAAAATACACTACCAATCTACATATGTATAAGATAAACTGTGTTTGTTGTTTTAAATTGTAAGTGCGTTCCTGGTTTTACTTCATTAAAGAAGGTAGTTATAAGTATGTTATTGATTATTTTAGTTTAAAATGGTAGTGTTACTATATTTGAATCTTACATAACACCCCTGGGAGAAGTTTTATATGATTTGATATAATTCTGCCATTGTGCAAATTATTTCTTACTGGGCTAAAAACTTGTAAATGGTTTTCATATGCTCCATCTGTGGTTTGTATACATAACAATTAGTTTCTTGGTAAGTTTAAATAAGTCCCCTGTCAAATGAAGAAGTGGCTATTGCTTTATAATCTTGGTCGCTTTAGGGACATTTTTATTGCGTAAAACAAGTACTATTAGTAGTATTAACAAGATGTAGTTGAAAGGAATACTGTGCTTGGTGGATTAAAAAAAAGTGATATATATGAGGTAGAGTGGAATAGGAAATATTCTTTTTTCTTGACAGAAAATTTGTTGCTGATATATAATTCCTGGGCTTCTGGATTTTCCTACACAGAAATATATTTAGAGGGCAGTTGTGCAGTCTCTCTTCCCTTTTATGCGTCTAGGGTGGTTTACCCAGAAGACCCCTCCCCCACCTCCTTTGACATTGTTTCTGGTGTTTTTTTAGAGTTAAAAATACGTTGCATTTTCTGTATCTGTGTGTATGTGTAGACACATAACATATTTAGGTTAAGAAAAGAACTTTGATCTTAGGGCATGGTACACTTTGCATTTCCAGGAAAGTGAAATATTTTGGTTTATGTATTCAAGCTCATGTTTTCATTTGAATATACAAAGGATTGCCTCTTAGGTTAATGTTGAAGATCATAAGAGATACTTGAAAACACTGAAGAACATAATGAACAATGTAAATATTGGTGGGACAGTTTTGCTGTCATGTTTGTTAGAAAGGCAAACATAGATCTATAAACTTAAAACTAAGATTAATGAATTGTCTGAACATCTACTCTGTTCATTGATACTCTGTCAATAACAAGCTTGTTTTGAAATTTTACTTTGATAGTTATGATGCCACAAAATTTTGACACATGTACAGCCTCTATAAGTTTTCAAACTAGGTTACTCTAGGAATGAATAAAAGTTACTGGGGTTATTTTTAATCCTTTTAGTTATGTCAATTTTAAGCATTATACAATTTAGTTCAGATAAAAAGGTTTGATTAAGCCATAAACCATTAAAATTGTCCTTTTTCTCTATAATTTTATTGTGATATAAATAGAAATTTTTTTACTTATAGCACATTTGGAACATTGAAATTAACATTTAGAAATAAGTACTCTAAGTGTTTTGGTGATTTTTGTGACCTTTTCATGGTTGATAAATTGATCAATAATAATTGATTGATCTGCTTTTAGTTAGATCATAATCTTATTCCTGTACTTTTAACTTAGTATTATATTGTGGATATTTTCCCATTTTATTCTTTCAGAATGTGTTTTTTAATGATTATATATTATATTGTGAAAATATTAAAAATTATTAAATACGTTTTTAAATGGCCACATAATATTATCTCTATTTAAGAGTGTTCTGTGACTTACTAAACCTTTTTTCTTGTTGACCATTTTGCTTGTTGCCCGTTTCACTATTATAATTAATGCTAGGGTGAACATCCTTTTACATGAATCATGATCTACATCTTATAATATTTCTTTGAAATTACTGTTTCAAAGGGCTTTTAAAATAATTTACAAAATTGATAAAAAGTTAATTTTTTTGAACAGCATTTTTCATACCATTAGTTTGGTGGTTGAAAATAGTATCTCATTAACTTCTTTTTTTCTATAAAAGATGAACGTGAACTGTTTTTTCATTTTAAATATTTATTTTATTTTCTGTTTTCCATCACTACTTATCCCTTTCTGTCCTCTTCCATATCCACTAACCCCCTTTCACCTCCACACCATCACCACACTGTTGTCTAAGTCCATATATTCTTTTTTTTCCCCCCTTTTTTGCTCAATCCTCCCCTCCCCCACAGCTGTCTGCCTGCTCTCTCTATGAGTCTGTCTCTATGTTGCTTGGTAATTCAGTTTATTAAGTAAATTGCACATACGAGTGAAATCATATGGTACATGCCTTTCTGTGACTGGCTTATTTCACTTAGCATAATGTTCTCCAGATTCATTCAAATGGTTTTGAAGGGTAAAATTTTCTTCCTTTTTATAGCAGAGTTATATCCCATATTGTAAATGTACTACAGCTTTTTTATATCCACTCATCTACTGGTGGACACTTGGGCAGTTTCCAAATCTTGGCTATTGTAAATAATGCTGCAGTGAACATAGGGGTACATATATTCTTTCATGTTAGTATTTTGGGTTGAACTTGCACTTTTTTGTTTTTGTTAGAGTGGAAGGAAGGGAGTTAGAGAGAGAGAGAAACATCATTGTGAGAGAGACACATCGATTGGTTGCCTCCTGCATGACCACCACCAGGGCCAGGGGTCAAAGTTGCAACCCAAGTACATGCCCTTGACTGGGAATTGAATCTACAACCTGTTGGTATGTGGGCCAGTGCTCTAACCACTGAACTCTGGCCAGGGGCTGAACTTGAACTTTTTAATGTTTAATATATATTCAGTTTTCTCATCATTTTGTGAATTAGCTGTATGACCTTTTTTGTGGCAGTTATTTTTCTTATATATTTGTAACAGCTATTTATAGATTAGCCTTTTTTCATATTTTGTGCAGGTTTTAAAATTATATTGCTTTTTAAATTGCTCATGGTTTTATATGTTAAGTGTTCCATTTAAACATTTTTTTAAAATAATTTATTTTTTAAATTGATTTTAGAGAAAAGAAGGGAGAGAGAAACATCAATGTGAGAGAGAAACATCAATCAGTTGACTCCCCTCAATCAGGAATCGAACCCACAACCTGAGTATGTGGCCGGACCCAAAATGGAACCCAAGACCTTTCATTGTATGGGACAATGCTCCCACCAACTGAGCCATACTGCCCAGTGCGAGAAGCATTACATTTTTACATAGTCAAATGCACTGGTTTTTTGTTTGTTTGTTTTTTTTTAATCCTCACCCGAGGACATTTTTGCATTTATCTTCAGATGAGGGGCGGGGGTGGGGGGGTGGGGGTGGAGAGAACATCCATGTGAGAGAGAGAGACAGATACCAAGTGGTTGCCTCCCACACGACCCCAACCAGGGTCAGGGACAAACTGCAACCAAAGTACATGCCCCTAGCGGAAACCGAATCTGGGACTCTCTGGTCCACAGGCTGATGCTCTAACCGCTGAGCCAAACTGGGTTTGTTTTTTGTTTTTTAATCCTCACCCAAGGATACATTTTCTTTTTTTTTATCCTCACCCGAGGATATTTTTCCATTTTTTGTACAGATAGAGTGGGAGGGAGAGAGAGGAAGGAGGGAGAGAGAGGAAGGAGAGAGAGAGAGAAACATCGACGTGAAGGGACACATCTAGTGGCTGCCACCCACACGACCAACCAGGGCTGGGGACAAACTGCAACCGAAGTACGTGCCCTTAGCGGGAACCGAACCCAGGTCTCTCCGGACCGCAGGCCGACGCTCTAACCGCTAAGCTAAACTGGCCAGGGCCAAGGATACATTTTCACTGATTTTTAGTTTTTATCCTCACCTGAGGATATTTTTTCTATTTATCATCAGAGTGGGAGGGAGGGAGAGAGAGGAAGAGAGAGAGATAGAAACATTGATGATGGAGGTATCACCTCACACCTGTCAGAATGGCCACCATCAACAAAATCATCAAACAACAAGTGTTGGTGAGGGTGTGGAGAAAAGGGGACTCTTGTACACTGCTGGTGGGAATGCAGACTGGTGCAGCCACAATGGAAAACAATATGGTGTTACCTTAAAAAATTAAAAATTGAACTGCCATTTGACCCAGTGATCTCACTTCTAGGAATATACCCTAAGAAGCCTGAAAC